GGTCTGAACCGGGGATCGAACCCAGGACCTTCTTGCTGTGAGGCGTCGGTGCTAACCACTGAGCCGTCGTGCCACCATTTATACCCAATCATGGCACCCACCTGTTCCCAATTAGCATGTTCACCTGTGGGATATTCCAAAAAAGTGTTTGATGAGCATTCCTCAAATTTCTCTGTCTTCTTTGTCACTTGTGCCAGCTTTTTTGAAACATGTTGCAGGCATCAAATTCCAAATGAGCTAATATTTGCAAAAAATAACAAAGTTTACCAGTTCGAACGTTAGGTATGTGGTCTTTGCAGTGTGTTCAATTGTAGGTTGAAAATGATTTGTAAGTCATTGTATTCTGTTTTTATTTATGATTTACACAACGTGCCAACTTTTCTGGTTTTGGGGTTTGTACTTCTGTTGATATTACTACTACTTCTACTTCCTGTTTTCTTCTTCTTCATCATCTTTTTCACCAGTAGAAACAGCTGGTTGTTGATCAAGTGACTCCTGTGATGCGAAAAAAACTGTTTCCATTGCAGTTTTGGGAAAAACACCAATTTCGATACGGCAGAAAAACCACCTCTTCCTAGCGCAAAACATTTTGTCGAAAAACGTAATATTTTTTCGAAATTGACGTGTTTCCACTGAACAAATTTATTTTCGAAATTCTAATTTGCGCATTTTCATGTTCAATTGAAACGCAGCTAGTAACGCAGCGCCGACCTGTGACCGTAGCTTATTGCAACAAATGAAATGTCGTAAACAGAAGATCAAAAGCTTGATAAACTGTTTGAACAGTGCGCGGCGCTCGCAGTCTTTACGTAGAACTTTTCAACACGTCAGCTAACCAGGCTTCAATAACACACCTGGGACATGTTGGTAAATTTCAGCAAAATCTTAGATTTCGGTTATCCCAAGCGAATGTGCCACATAAAAAACAGACGTCGGGGAGTAATTTATTTACTACATGGTGTTTCCAGATAATGCTTATCCTGTGCTAATGAGGCGGCACAACAGCTCAGTGGTTAGCACCGACGCCTCACAGCAAGAAGGTCCTGGCTTCAATCCTGGGGTCTTTCTGTGCAGAGTTTGCATGTTCGTCTCGGGTTTGCGTGGGTTTTCTCCGGGTACACCGGTTTCCCCCACCCCTAAAAAAGCCATGTACAATAGGTTGCCTTCAGGGCCTCCCTTGAAAAATAGATGAGGTCTCAATACTTGCCTGGTTAAATAACAGGGGCGTAACTGTAAGAAAATACGTGTATATCGACTGAAGTTAAGATGAAAACACAATTGTTAAATAAACTGATTTGTGAAAGGAATAAAGTCATACAACACCAGAATCCTGGATCTGAGTGAGGTTTATTGTCACCGAGCTGACAAGCAAAACCACACTGACTCACATTCAGGAAGTGCATATTTTTATACACGATTCTTCAATGCCTGAGTTCGCCCCCTACTGACCTACGGCTGAATCACAGGCATTCATACAAAAATCTCATCTTAATGTTATTATAACGGTTCACTTTATGTGTTGTTTATGATTCGGACATGTAGCTACTCTATTTCGATTAACACGTAACAAATCAAACATAATAAAAGTATTATAAAAAGGAAACCCTAATACTCTGGTGTTGTTTCTAACATCAGTACTAATCTATAATAACCATAAGTTTCTTCATAACATACATTGATCTATATCGCAATATCGATTTGAATGGTTCATGATTCAGTTATTTATCGAGGCAAAATGAAAATATCAATCTATATTGTCAACATGGGAATCGGTATCATCATATCGCATTTTATCGATCGCAGACATGTGAATTGAATTGAATCGAAATCATTTCACGACAGACTTTGTGATATCGAATCGTCATCCAAACATATCGATGTAATATCGTATCGTGTTAAAGCTGGTGATTCCTATTAAATAACGGTAAGAAAATAAAAAATAAAATAAGGCTTAATTGACAAGAAAACTAGATCTCTAGGATGCGAAACAAGATGGCATAGAAGAGAGCTCCCAAGTCAAAGAAGCCCTAGTCTTTCCTAAAACAATAAACATGATTTTAAACAGACAAAATAAGTGGAGGATGAAAACAAAGAGGCATAAGGAAAAAAAATTGAACTGCGAAAAAATGGCTAATGCTAGCCTTTTATGCTAGCTTTGGTCAAACCTTCAAAGAGTTTGCAGAGTCCTGGTCCATCACTGTTCCATGCTTTGATGTAGTTTTTCCTCACCTGTCTCCTCACCTGTTGGCTCATCCACTTACCTAAAGAAACTGTGATCAACCAATCATAACGAACTCCAGCGGACGTCGGGGATTTCTCATCCAAGCTGAACCATTAAAGTCCATCTCTGTGTCTCACAGAAGCATCAGGCTGAACAGAAACCTGACGACAGGTCGTTCCACTTTCTCTATCTGTGCATTCCTCTGACGGCAGAGCAACCCGCCTGACCGGTTCAGTTCACAGCTCTCATTTGTGTCTTAATTAGGCTGCGAGAAAAAAAAAAGCCACGTGTGTTTCTAACATTCTCTGATGAAGTCTGCATCCCGCAGCAGAAAACAGCAGGAAAAGGTGACGAGCATCATGTTTAAAAAGAAACTAAATCTGGGTTTTCAGACGCATGAAAAACGTTAAAATCAGATTTTCTGAAGCTCTGCTGGACAGAAGTGACAGAACCTCCATGCAAAATAATATAAATATTTCAGGAGAGGAAAGCTAATTTAAAAGAGACGTCACCTGAACCGTAAGAACAAAGTTGTCGTGAAAGGCCTTCCGTATTTTCAGTTAAGAAAACAGAAAACAAATCTTCCAATTTTCAGAGATTTAACAGAAAAAACAAG